TTTTGTAATTCCTGTTTTTTTTAAACAAAACCAATTTTTTAAATCTATTTTTGTGAAAGGTCATATTAGGTCACTTTTGTTTCTCTTTGAACAATTGCAGTCGCTACATTTTTATAAATTGTATAATAAATACTTCATAACTAAAAACCGATTAAATAACATTTTAACAAATTGTTAAATTTTAAATTCAAATATTGATTATTAAGTTATTGTTATAAAAGTTATTGTACAAAAAATAAATGTGCTATAATTCCATCTTTTCCTCTCAAAGTAATTGAAATCAGAGTAATTGAAAATCAAAGTTATGAATTAAATGATTTCTAATTTCGAATTTTTGCAATATTGAAGATTCGTTTAGATTCAAAAGTTATCTAGAATAATACAGCACAATAAAATAAATAAATGCATTAATGTATCATATTATTATATAATTTTAGCAATACCCACTGAATTAATACGTTACATTAATACGTTATACACATAACATATCATTTAGCCTATTAATTGATAAGGAAGTTTTTTTTAATCATTGAATTAAATAGATTATTTACCGATGCATACCGGAAACAAAATATAATACCGAATTAATATTTTTAATCACACACACTGAGAGAGTATTATATTATTAATAATGCGTTAATGCGTTAATTCGTTCATTTCGCTACATTGTATCATTCTAGATGATAACCTTTAAAAAACCATAATTGATAAACAGCCCCTCGATATTTAAACAAACAGAACAAATATATAAAGCAACTGAGGGTAACGACGTGGTAATTAGTGCGCAATAAGATTTCCAGTAAAAAGAGTGTATTTATTTCATATTACATACTCCACATAAAAAGTCAAATGCTTCATTCAAATCATTTTCAGTGATTAAGTACTATATATTAATTCTGCATTATTTCTCGTTTCTGGTATCTATCGGTAAGTAATCTATCCATAAGTAATCTGTTTAATCTTCTATGATTAAAGCAAGCCTCTATATCAATTAATAAGCTAATTGACATGTTATTTATATGTAAAATACAACTAATAAGTGTGAAAAATATAATTAATGAGTATTTGGTGGCATTGGTAAAATTATATTACCTATTCATCGATAAAAAAAGGAACGAAATTACACATTTGTACCATTGTTAATAAATTATAATTAAATGAAATTAAAATGAAAAAATTAAATTAAATTATAAATAATTAGATAAAACAATTTAATTAGAATAAATCAATTTAAAAGCTCGTCGTTAATTCATAACTGAATTACACGGAAGCAACAAGTGATGAACTGCAATAAGAAGTTTCATATCAATTTGTATAAAAGTAAATATGATAATAAATATTAAATGGTTTATTAAGTATTACGATATGTCATTTGTTATTTCATATAACAAAGCAAATTTAGTAAAAATGAACAGACGACGGGGTTATGAGAGTCTAGAGTGGTAATTAGTGCTAAGCAATAGTTTTTCAAAAATTTAATTTAATTAATTAGTTAAACATTATGAGACTTACAATATCTTGCTTCGTTTCGGCTTTAATACTTGAGTCTTCTTCAATAACAAAAAAATGCAAACAATAAAAAATAAAAAAATTGCATGTCGTTAGGTACGTTAAACATAAAATTCTAGGTATACCAAAGTAACGCAAAAGGTTCTCCATTACCTAAAATAATTATATTATATATTAATACTAAACGCTTATTGGACTACAGTCGAGGATTGAAATAGTCAATAGGAAAATTGTCGATATTTCGTTTCAGATAAAAGATTGCTTATTTGCTACTTTAGTATATCTGTAAGAACTTTAGTTAGACAAGGCGAGAGGTCAGTGGATAAAAATTATATTCAACTAGTTGGAAGATTAGATGGAAACACGTTCATCCTACATTAAAATCAAATGTTAACGACGATTTAATGTTTGCAACAGTTGATTAGAAATAAATAAAAAATATATATAACTCACCTCACAAGTAGCAGCAGTCCATACACAAAATTAAAAAACGGATTCTATATAGAAAGTCAGAATAAAATTATATATATAAAAATGTGGAAATATATGAAACGAGATTATAAAATTGTACATTACAAAAGATAGGTTCTTCCTACTCGAGTTCGAATAGAATAATGCGTTGAGACAATAAAATGTACTAACAAATAGCGGAATTGATAAGATGTTGTTTTGCAGTACAATAAACCAAAAATCACTCTTAAATTCCAGCGTAAAGCTTATTTTTCTAAGAGGTTTGTTCGTGTTGTTTGAAATTCTCACAAATTTTTGCATTTAAAATGAGTTATTTAAATATTCGGGCGTTGAGAACAGAGAAAAGATGCTGAGCGCAAAGAATGCAAGCAACACGACCTAAGAGAACAGACCTAAGATTTTCTATTTATGTCAATTGCAAAAATGGAAGGCAAAATGCACGGATGCTATTATTTTGCTACTGCATATCTTCGGGAATATAACACTTTATCTAATTCCGCCTTGCTAACAAATAATAGATCATTTATACTAGCCGTCTATAATACATATTACAAAATAAATATTAATTTATCTGCTGTAATCTGTATTTATGCTGTAAGCATTGTAATTATATTTGAATTATATTCCAATTATAATCGAATGAAGGAGGAATAATCGATTCTATGATTGATCAATTTTAACAGATTACAGCCAGTATAAATGATCCTTAAGTCATACGATCAAAAGAAACATTTTTATTAGAAAAATACTTAAATATTATTAATAATTAATGAGTACATATTATTAGACTCTATCGGTCTATTTTTAAATTGTGCGTCTCTTTACATGTATTGGGTTGTTCGAATAGTTCGTGCCGATGTTGAAGGAAAATTGAAACGCAGAAAATTTTAATTTAACAAATATATACTAAAATTTAAATTTTAATCGGCACGAACTTTCCAGACAATCCATTTCCGATAACAATCTTTTGCTAAGATATCTTTTTTCTATCCAAAATCTCCTTTCCAAAAAAATTCGTGATTGTAACTTATTTTTATAATTATAACTTATGCTTACAGTGACCAAACTAGTAGAAATGTTTCTTCTGTTCTAAGATACCTGTTTTTAAATATCTACTAATCTGCCCTATATAATCCGATAAAAAGTTTTTCATACATGAATATATATATAAATATGTATTAGTTTTACCGAAATTTTTACCGAAATATACAGGGCAATTGATATTTGGATTTTTTACCGAAATATACAGGGCAATTGACAGATAATTAAAAACAAAAATTTTAGAACACTTATAGAGTCACATTAGAAGAAATATTTCTACTAATTTGGTTATTACTGAACATGAGATGAATTACCAATTTTGTTAGAAGGTAGAAATTTTGGATAGTGAAAGATATATTAGCCAAAGATCGTTATCGAAAATGATACATATAAGAAAACAATACAATTTCAATTAAAAATTTTTTTCATACATGAGCATATATAAATATATATAAACTTTAAATATATTTATATTTATGCGTAAAAAATATTTTATCGAGTTATGTAGGGCAAATTAGTAAATATTGGGAGTACAAATTCGGTCCGTTTTTTGTGCATTTATTTCAAAACAAAATGAATGAACAGATCAATTAAAGTATTGTCGCTGCCTACTACTTTTTCCCATCTCTCAGGCAATTTTCGAATTCCATCTCGAAAAATGACTCGTCTTTGGAGGCGATCCAATTTTGGAGCCAATTTTCGATTTCTGCGAAAGAAGTGAACCGGTGACTTGCTGCATCCTTCGGAACAACCAGTAATCAGAAGGAGCAATGTCCGGAGAATACGGTGGATGCGGTAAAACATCCCATTTCTAAATATTTTTTTACGACTTTAGCGACATGAGATCGAGCATTGTGTGCATGAAGAAGAATAACTTTATCATGTTTTTGCTCGTATTCCGGCTGTTTTTCTTGCAATGCACGGCTCAAACGAATCAATTGTAGCCGATACCAATCGCCTGTAATGGAATCACTAGGTTTCAGCAGCTCACAGTAAACAAGACTCTTTTGGTCCCATCAGATACAGAACATGATTTTCGAACCATGTTCGACCATGGTGTTGATGTTGAGATCGATGGCAACCGGGCTTGGCGTAGTATTTTTTCTTCTTGGGATTGTCCTAGAATATCCACGTCTCGTCTCCAGTCACAATCTGATGCAAAAAATCTTTTCTCTCTTGTCTTTGAATCAGCTGTGCAAGTGAAAAATCCATTCAATGTCTCTTGGTTTCAGTTCATAAGGCATCCAATTTTCTTGTTTTTGAATCATTCCCATGGCTCTCAATCGTACAGAAACGGTTTGTTGAGTTATCCTCAATGATTCTGCAAGCTTCTCTTGCGTTTGACTCTGATCTTCTTCGAATAATGCCTCTTAATAATTCTTGTCTGAATTTTTTTGGCTCCAGAGCGAGGCTTGTCTTCAATGCTGAAATCTCCATCCTTGAAATCTTCATCCTTGAAACATCGAAACCATTCCCTACATGATTTATCAGTTGAAGCAGTGTCTTAAACTTCGACAAGCATTCGATGGGCT